CTTCTTCTGCCCCTCTGCCCCCACCCCTGCAGCTTCTACCCTCGCCCCGTGGAGAAGATGTTTGTGGTGACCATGGAGGAGCCCTCGATGCTGCGCTACAGCGTCGCCTTCCCCCTGCTCTGCAGCCACTTCTCCCGCTGCAGCCACCCCATGTGCCCAGAGGAGGTGGGTCCTGCTGCCCCCCCAGGGGACACGGGGGACACAGGGGTGCAGCTCTGGAGGGTGGGTAGGGGACAAGGGCAGCCCCATGGTCTAGGGGCAGCTGGTGGCACGTTGCAGAGGGACCACGTGGGGTGCGGTGACGGTGCCGTGGCTGTTCCCCCCCTGCAGTATCCTCACCTGAAGGCTGTAGCCCTGGGGATGTGCAACAAGTTCCTGGAGGAGATGGCCCGACAGGCCAGTGCCTGCATCATGGATGCTTGTGCTGAGCAGCACAACCTCAGCGAGCAGGTGAGGGTCACAGCTCCAGGACCTCTGAGGTCTCCATGGTCTTTGGGGTCTCCAGGACCTCTGGGGTCTCCATGGTCTTTGAGGTCTCCATGACCTCTGTGGTCTCCATGGCCTTTGAGGTCTTCATCACCTTCAGGATCTCAGTAGCCTTTGGGGTGTCCAGGACCTCTGAGGTCTCCATGGTCTTTGGGGTCTCCATGGCCTTTGAGGTCTCCATCACCTTCAGCATCTCAGTAGCCTTTGGGGTGTCCAGGAACTCTGAGGTCTCCATGGTCTTTGGGGTCTCCATGGCCTTTAAGGTCTGCATCACCTTCAGCATCTCTGTAGCCTTTGATGTCTTCATGGCCTCTGTGGCCATTGGGGTCTCTGGGTTCTCCGTGATCTCCAGGATCTCTGTAGCCTTTGGGGTCTCTGTGGCCTTCGTGGTTTCTTGTCCATGACCTTTGGAGTATCCTGGCCTCTGGGGTCTCTCTGGCCTCCTTGGTCCCTGAGAGCTTTGTGGCTTCCTCGGCTTCCACGTTCTCCAAAGCCTTGGGGCAGCAGGGAAGACCTGGCAAGGTGTCCTCCCAACTCAACCTTGGGGATGGTGGTCTCTGGTGCTGGAGGTCCTGGTTGGGCTGTCCTCAGTGTCACAGCTCATGGTAACCTGTTGTCCACGGCTGCCAGCTGCTGCCCAAGCACTGTGCCTCCACCGTCAGCAAAGCCCGAAACAAGAAGAACCTCAAGCAGCCGACCAAGAAGGGGGAGCCTGAGCGGGACAAGCCGGGGGCCGAGAGCCA